AGTAGTATCGTGTTAGAGCTGATAGTTTTAGTAAGTATCGTGTTAGAGCTGGTAGTTTTGGTAAGTTTCTGGTTAGAACTGATAGTTTTGGTAAGTATCATGTTAGAACTGATAGTTTTGGTAAGTTTCTGGTGAGAACTGATAGTTTTAGTAAGTATCATGTTAGAGCTGATAGTTTAGTAAGTATCGTGTTAGAGCTGATAGTTTTGGTAAGTATCGTGTTAGAGCTGGTAGTTTTGGTAAGTTTCTGGTTAGAACTGATAGTTTTAGTAAGTATCGTGTTAGAGCTGATAGTTTTAGTAAGTATCGTGTTAGAGCTGGTAGTTTTGGTATGTTTCTGGTGAGAACTTATAGTTTTAGTAAGTATCGTGTTAGAGCTGATAGTTTTGGTAAGTATCGTGTTAGGGCGGGTAGTTTTGGTAAGTTTCTGGTTAGAACTGATAGTTTTAGTAAGTGTCATGTTAGAGCTGATAGTTTTAGTAAGTATCATGTTAGAACTGATAGTTTTGGTAAGTTTCTGGTGAGAACTGATAGTTTTAGTAAGTATCATGTTAGAGCTGATAGTTTAGTAAGTATCGTGTTAGAGCTGCTAGTTTTAGTAAGTATCGTGTTAGAGCTGCTAGATTTGGTAAGTTTCTGGTGAGAACTGATAGTTTTAGTAAGTATCGTGTTAGAGCTGATAGTTTTGGTAAGTATCGTGTTAGAGCGGGTAGTTTTGGTAAGTTTCTGGTTAGAACTGATAGTTTTAGTAAGTGTCATGTTAGAGCTGATAGTTTTAGTAAGTATCATGTTAGAGCTGATAGTTTTGGTAAGTATCATCTTAAGTATTTGGTTATATTTATAAGATTAAAATTGATAGTTTTAGTATGGTTTTAGATATATTTTTATATTATTGCATTGTTTATATATTTATATATATTTATAGGTTCGGTGCAATATAGTATACATGAAACCAATGAGAGTGTATTATTAAAGATATTTGCCTTTACAACATGTTGGATAGATTTATTAGGCCGTGGTTTACAGACGTACTGTATGTCGAGATACAGACAATTAAATAAACGTATTGGTAAAATGATCAGGTTAGATTTTCAGATGCAGTTCTGCATTTATTTTATAATTTAAAAACAAGATTGGACAAATTGTAAAGAATTTTTTAATGTGAACAAGAAAAATACTTTCCACTTTTTTTTGCACAACTTCATTGTTTTGATTTGAAATTTCAATCTCAAACTATCTGTATCTGCAGATAGTCAGAGGACAGTCATATTGGATATGTTGTTTTCAACAATACCTAATGTTTAGTATGATTGGAACTATTTCTGGTCTTATTTTGTAGAGAAACAGTAGCTTTAGTATCAGATCATTGGTATAATTATAAAACATTAATATTACAACCAGCCCTATCAATAAATAGATTACAGAGTGAATTTGATCAGTTTTTTATGAGAGCTACTTACTGTATATTAGCTGCTGAGAGGTAAGGAATTAGAAATCATTTCTTTTTGTCATTAACAACATTCAATAAATTGTTTATTCAATGTACAACCTGCAAACGTAAATAATAGCTATGACGTCATCCTTTGTTCTATTCATCCATTATCTAGTATAATGTATGAGTGTTGTTAGTAATACGCACTAACTGTTCATTATTTGGTAAAAACTGTTCACTAACTGTCCATTATTTTCAACAAAGGGTCCATTATTTTCAAAAAGTGTCCATTATTTGTTAGTTTTTTTGGACATTTTTTTGGTATAACTTTCAAATTTGATGAATAAAATAAACAGAATATGAAATGTTGGATTTACATGAAACAAGCATACAAAACATATTTACAGTATTCACAAATAATTAAAATTTCAATTGGAAGGAGAAGTCTTTTGCTTCAAAGTTGAAACTGCAGTTACTTCAAGCCGAGTCAGAGATATTACTTTCTCTTGTTTGCAATTTACTAGGCCTTTTAATGAAATCAGTTTTGGATTTTTTGGGACGGAATTGAAGCTTGTAAAATAGAACTAACCACTGCTTGTTGCTCACCACTTGTTCTTTTGTAGAAACAGACAGCGTTTGATCTATGGTCTGTCTTTTCAACAATTAATTGTTCATCGCAATTATGTCCATACATGCGGGTAACTGCCGTTGACCTCAGAGAATAATTTGTATAGAAGCCTGCTCTCTCACACATTGATTTGATAGTTTTTTGAAGCAAATGGACACCTACTGGTATATCGCAGTACCATACATCAGATGTAGTATATTTTCTTGGTCTTAGGTACAGTGCCTGACATTTACCATTCTTCGGTCTGAAAAATCAAAATGCGACAATTTTATATAAAAAATTATTTTATGCACATTATTTATAATGCTTGTGTTATATTTGTGAAAAAACGCGGCATCGGCTAAAGGTAAATGTTACGTTTTGCAACGGAGATGATTCTGTTTGATATTAGGCGACATATATAGATAGATATTTTTGGTACAGCATTACAGAGCATCTTTCTGGTTTAGAAGTATCTTCATGTGCTCTGGTTGTTTTTGGAGAAACTTTCCTGTGTTTTAAACCCCCTCTGTTTGTTTTAGATACATCTTCAGTATATACCAAATATTTCCTGCCTTCTTCATCAACTTTTTCTTCAATTTGAGAGTTTTGACCAACTCTCAAGTCTCTATGCTCACTGTCTGCCCTCAATTGTTGCAATAGGGTATCTAACAGCTTTTGAGGTGTATCAGTCCCAAGGAAACCTCTTTCCCACAGCTCATCTTCTTGATTCATAGTTATTATATCAGCTTGTTTTCGATTGATTCCTATACCCTGCCTCGACAGTTCCTTCATCTTCCCATTAAGCACTTTTCTCATTTCACTGAATTCTTTGTCATCCAACAGGCTCATAAATAGTCCATTTTTCGAAGATGATGTTGTATTGCTATTATTAATTCATACAAGGTATTCGGATTATATTCGCCACCCTTCTCGTTTCGTACTTCTGCTACAAAATATGTAAGGTAGTGGTTTAAATCAGGCTTGCTTAATTCCAACAGATTAATGTCATTTCGAGATTGGTCACGGTGCTTGTACCATGAATGGAATAATCTGATAGCCCACTGTGTTTTTATTTCTGTTTTCTCTGAAAGTCCTTTGCTAACGATTGCACCTATGTCAGCTTTTTGCAAAGGTTTGCCAAACCTTGATGTGGTAGTATTTGCGGTCAATATATCCTTATTTTCAATTTCGCCAACACATTGTTCTTGTTTTTCTCCTGTTTATATTTCCGAAAAAAGGTCTGTCCGTATCTGAAGATCAGGATGTTCATACTCCATATTTGACGAATTTTGTACAATATTATCTATTGGATTATCCTCGGATGAATTCCTGTAGGTTGACTGTGTTAAAAAAATATAGTTTTCACTTGATGAAGACATTGTTTGTAGACTTTACACCTGTATCCTATAGTATGTGTGCCACGGTTTAGATCACAATCTGAACTCCCTTAACTTTTAATCAGCCAATGAGTTGTGTTGATTACAATTATTTTAACTTAGTTGGGCTATTATTTAAGTAAGATAGAGCACTCAAACTGTCTATTAAGCCAGAGAATGGGCAATATGAGGGGCGTATCCCTTACTTCAATTTGAAGTAAAAAATATTTAAGTGAACTAGAAAAGCAGGACATATTCCGGTATATGTGCTTTTATGTATCTTTTATGCATATTTTCTGGAAATTTACTTCTGCATTTGTGTTTGAGATCTTTATTATTTTTCTCTGGTATTGATCTAAAGATTTTCTTCTATTTTTAGGCTTGGCTCCTGGCAATTCATGACAAACATGCCCTTCACATGTGTATCATCAGATTGTATGTGGCAGTTATTATGGATACTGCATCAAGGTCAAGGTCATGAGTTAGATTTAGATTGTATACCATCAGTTGAAGAATGTAAGACATATCTTAAAGGTAAGTTGAAATTATTTAAATGATAATCATATCGAAACGTCCTAATCTTCTGCTACTGTTTAAATCAATGAGGAAGTATTAGTGCTCAATTTCCAAGTTTAGAGGATCTTTCACGCAACAAATCAATTTTATCAGCAGACATTACCTTTGAACTATCGATATATTATAATTATATATGTTTTAAGAATGTTTTTGTGAAAGTTTTCAGTCAGCAAGACATGTTTCTAGAATCATAAAATTCTCTATTCCCACTTTGAAAATATGACTTGCTTGTAAACTCTTTTAAATTGATACATAATTATATTGAAAAATACATTATTATTATTTATAATCTTGAAATGGTTGTAAGAGATTTCTATAACTTCAGAATATTTTTACATGTATTTATAGATTGTGACAGTAGAAATCAACTGATAGATAATCTTGTTAATTTACAATCATCAGAAACTATCTATTTACTATCAACTTTTGCTAATATGGCTGAAAGTAGACCTACCACTGAAATAGACTTTATACAAGCTATTACTTTGGAAGTATTTGAGGTATGTTACATGTATTTATATATCTGCATAATGGGAAATAATCAAGATGCAATCTGCAGTTCAACATCAAAATTAAAATCTACTTGCATCATTTTCTCAACATTAGCAAGTAAATGACATATTGATCTTCCAATCAAATACACAAAATGAACTATGTATATTGTAAAGAATCACATTGTAGAAATACATTGTAGTCGATCATGAATGTCTTGATGTCCATTTTATTTGTAGATCCTATAGATATACTGTTCTATCTAATTGACCTGTTCTGTTTGCAGATTGCTTATATATGTGATCATACTAGAGAATTCTGTTCTAAAGTAGGACGTGAATTAATAGCTGTTATTATAGATAAACATCCCTATACTTTCTCTGTTATATTACATGCTGTACAGAGTAATATAAAACAGATTGGTACAGTAAGTACGATATATACTTCATTCTTTTATTCAAGTACATAATAACATTTCAGAGGTTAGATTTCACAGGTACAGGTGTCTGCTGGGCAAAAAATAAAAGAACTGCACTGTCACGTACTAATGTCAATTTACGCATTTCACACAAAGGATATGTCTGGGACTTGAACTGCACATTCCCTTGAAAAATAAATGTGTATTTACAGATGTCTATATTTGTATTTCGTAAATTACCATTATATATCTTTATACCAACTGATCCTGATTTACAGCATTAAGATAACTATTATTATTTATTTTTTAATAAAGATGGCATAGCTGTGTATGAACTGATCCTGATTTAGAGAATTAAGATAACTGTATTATTACTTTTATACATCCACATGAAATAGGGGGCGTATATTGTCATCACCCACGTCTGTCCGTCCATTTGTCCACAATTGCTCGTAAACACTCTACAAAGTCCAATTCTTGACAGATTTTGACGAAACGTAGTGTGAGTGTTTGTAATCACCCAAGGATGAACCCTATTGAAAATCAGAAGAAAAGTTAGTATGAGTTTTTGTCATTGTTCTTAAAAACGCGTTCAAGTTTTAGCCTGTACACACTCTAGAAGACACTTGACAGATGTGGATGAAACTCAGTATCGCCTCAAAAAGTTCAAAAGAAGTGTATGACTGAAGGTTGAATATTTCATACTGGTAATTGTTACTGTTCTGCCAAATATTTTTATTTAAAATCAAAGCTGCCGGTGGGAGAATGTTACCTTGTCTGGCAATTTATCTGATTTGTTGATATTAGAATCAATTATATATTTCTATTTTGTATTTATAGATGTCTATATTTTTATTTCGTGAATTACCATTACACAACTGCATACCAACTGATCCTGATTTATTAATATTAAGACAATGGTTATTAAATTGTGATCTTCATACACATGAGAACCAGTTATCACGGTTAATATTATCCTATTTTAACTGGGATATTGACCAACAAGTAAGTATAAGAAGATATTTTGTTAGAGACTTCAATTCAATTCAGTGCATAATATCAGGACAACATATTCCTGTTCTTTTTATACGCCCACACGTAAGAGGGGCGTATATTGTAATCACCCCGTCGGTCCGTCCGTCCGTCCGTTCACATTTGGCTCGTGCTCACTCTACAGGCTACAGTTCTTTATGGATTCTTTTGATTTTTATTTTGTATGTCAATGTTGTTATGAAGATGATCCCTATTGATTTTCGTGATGATCGGATAATTTTTCACCGAAATATCGTGTCTGACTTGACGTTTTTCTCTATTAGCTATATTGTGCAACTCGTGCTCACTCTACAGGCTACAATTCTTTACAGATTCTTTTGATTTTTATTTTGTATGTCTATGTCGTTATGAAGATGATCCCTATTGATTTTCATGATGATCTATCGATTTTCATGATGATCGGATAATTTTGCACCGAAATATCGTGTCTGACCTGACGTTTTACTCTATTAACTATATTGTGCAACTCGTGCTCACTCTACAGGCTACAATTGTTTACAGATTCTTTTGATTTTTATTTTGTATGTCAATGTCATTATGAAGATGATCCCTATCGATTTTCGCGATGATCGGATAATATTTCACTGAAATATCGTGTCTGACTTGACGTTTCACTCTATTAGCTATATTGTGCAACCCTGTAGTCACTAAAGACTGTTTAATCATATCTGACAGCTGCCAGTGGGCGTATGTTACCTTGCCTGGCAAGCTATCTTTTATTTCTTATTAGAAATCAAGACTTCGTTTTGCATTCTATTTGATCTGTGGCACTGTTATGGCCGTGATGCAATAGCTAGTGTTCATGATTGATCAAACACTGACTGGACATTGTTGGAAAATTATTATAATGGTACCATATTGTACATTTGTGATTCAGTGGGAATTCTGACTTTAGAAAATAGTGTACAATGATATACTTATATACTTGTTTCAGAATGGTCCAATATTACCACTAAGATTACACAGACAGATAGCATTGTTATTAGTAGAGGTATATAGGAAATATATCAGTAGTAGAAATTCTAGTTGGTTGATAGGAGAGGGTATAAGACAGGTATATTTCTTACATTTTATTTTGATTGCGTAATAGCCTTAAATCCAGGGACATTATTTTTTGCAAGTGATTTCAAGTACGGAATATATCTTACACTTTAACATAATTTACCATTTTGAATTTTATTAAACTCCATTATTAGTTATGTTAGCAAATCAGCTAAATTTGATAAGTGGACTTGTGCATATAGAATATTGCTTCCAAACCATTGCACAATATCACATAGTTGATTTAAAAGTACAGAGGTGATACACACAAACATCTATGGAAATTCTAAACCATGATAAGCATAAGTTGACAAATTCGTGAAATAAGCTTGATCTATATTTCAGGTTGCTTCAGCAGTGAGACAGAATGCAACAGCAGAACAGAAGTTTAATAATTGGGCGTGGGATTTAGCATTACGTTTAAAACTACATGTTAACAATATGAATATGACTGGTGTGATATCAGAGTTTATTCCATGTAATCTAGATACAGAGGATTGGTTATTACCTGTTGTTAAAGGAATAAAACATAAAAATCCTATAGCTTGTTATCTTGGTCTGCTCATGTCAACCAGAACTCACAAGTAAGTTTAAATCATACACTAATTCTATGTCGTGCAATGTGTGTTGGTGATAATGATGTCACTGATCATTGGACAGTTAAGAATTTAAAAAGAGCAGATCATGGATGCAACCTTCAGTGTCTCATCTAATGACTTGATAATAATTATATGTTTTCATTACTATGATGATATGATGTATATATGTGTAATACTTCAGAAATACTGTTCAAGTGTAGTTTTGTGTACACCAGTTTATCAAGGCCTGTCAATAATCATATTACTAAAACATTTTTTTGAAAAAAGCAAAACTTGACAAAAAAAAAATTCTTAATATGATCAGAACTAGAAGAATTAATAACTGAATTAATGGTGATATTTTTCAGTGTAACAGAATTTGTCAGTGAAGGTCTGGATATTTTAGCATCATTAGTCACAGCTAACCAGTTTAGTGCTGTGATACATGTATTAAGTTCTGTGTGTCCATATTTTCTTTCTACACCAGCATATATAGTTGATAATGAAAGGTATGGCCTTACTGAAATTAGTTTGAATTTAAGCTTTGAACCGCTATATAACAAATAATGTAAAAGTTGAAATTCAAGCTAAACTTTAGGACTATTCATACCAAATTGTCTCACAGACATGCCTTATAGACTTTACTTTTATGTGATTTCCCTCAAGCAATTCTGCTAATTCATTTGAATCATTCTAAAAGACAAGATTTAAAACCATTTGTTAATGTTGGATATACAAATTGTATTATTTATCATTACTTTTGATGTCTTATTTTAGATTTATTAAGATATTACAGTCAACTTTATGGGCTGATGAAACATTATATAAAATGGCTAAATCTGTAATTATATCAGATTTTCCTGGTAGTGTTACAACACAGTTTGTCAACATGATACAGGTCAGCTTTTACATTTATTTAAAAAGTTCTTTCCCTTCTTAGTTATATGTATCAATGTGCAATTTTAGGTATACCTAGACTGTGTAGGATAGAATCTGATTATAGATTGCAGCAGTGTGATATATTTATATTATTATATTATAGAATGATGTTAACAATAAAAGAGAATTATATCAATGTAATCTAATGATATTGTTCTGGGTTCATGCTATTACTAAAATCAATAAATGGTACAATGACAGGTAACTATAGATTATATTAAAAATTACATGTATAAAATATTAAATTAATTTGTAATTTTCAAAGTAAAAAGCATCACAGAAATTTAAAAGTTCAGCAAAGCAATAATTTTTCTCCTTAAGTTTTAATCGCATAAGTCATAATATTTTACAAGTATTTGAACGTTTGTCTTTACTTCCAAGCTGTTATTAACATACATTCAATAGTGCATCTGTAATATATTTTGTAGACATCGTTGATATATTTTGAAGGAGTTGTTGATATATTTTATATAATAATTGTTGATATATTTTATATTATAATTGTTGATATATTTTATATAATAATTGTTGATATATTTTATATTATAATTGTTGATATATTTTATATAATAATTGTTGATATATTTTATATAATAATTGTTGATATATTTTATATTATAATTGTTGATATATTTTATATTATAATTGTTGATATATTTTATATAATAATTGTTGACATAATTTATATGATAATTGTTGATATATTTTATAGGAATTGTTGATATATTTTTTTAGGAATTGTTGCTATGTGTTAGATAAGATAATAGAAATTGGATTTACAATAGAAGGTTTGTTACCACAGATACAAGATATTATAATAGTCTGCTTCCAGGTATTATCAATGACTTTTACTAGCCGTTTTGAAACAAAATTTCCATCAGTCATAAAAAAAGCCAAATAGTGCTATCATTGTAAATTAAAACTAGGACTTGATATGATACCATAATCTCCTTGACAGAAACTATGAAACATCAAGAGAACAGCATTGAACATTAATTGTTGGTTACATATTTTTTAGTCGATATTTCTTGGTTGGGTGCTAGCATCGGGAATGATTCTAGTTCTATGAATTAACTTCAAAGCTGTTCTTCTAAGTAAAAAGGTAAGAGATGTGCATGCATGAGTCAAACTTACAAATTGTCTTTATTTTTTCAGAAATTTCTAAAAGAAAGCAATCAACAAGGTATGGTGTCGTCTGTGGTCAGTTGGATATCGTCTGGTGTTTATATTTATCAACCTTCATTATTAGAGAAGCATACAGAGTTTATATATCTAGCATACCTTGTCTTATTAGTAGAGAAAAACTATGAGGTGCAGTCTTTGATCTGGCCTGCTCTACAGGAAGAATTATATAATAACCAGCTGTCTACAGTTGATCAGGCTTTGAGGGTAAGCCTTATTTCTAATAAGAGCATCTTTAGTGGCTAAATAAGCATGTGACTTCAGTTGCTGAGAATTTAGAATGAAAGGACCAAATTTATTGTCTATCAGAGAATATTACTCTTTCAGCACTAAGTGTATGGTATATTGAAATATGTCATTTCTTACCTATGTTTCTTTATTTCCCATATTTGAGAAAGTTTCTTTATACCATTCAGGCAAATTTTTGAATGTGATTAGTAGATATTTAAAATACAGATCTTTTGTCTTTATGAATTGATATTTATTCTTTATTGTATTTCAGACTGCTATAGCCAAGTTGAAATTACAACAAGCCCCTGCTATAAATAAATTAAATATCTATCGGTGGGCACAGCAAGCTATTGATACACCTTATGATCATACATTACTACCATTGATATGGCAACAGTTCTTTTTATTATATCTTGGCAGGAATGCCTCAGAGCGAAGGTGAGATATTTAAACAAATTTATTTGGTTTGGATCGAAAAGTTAGTTAAGTAGTGCCAGAATTTACCGTATTGTAAACCAGAATGCTTGTCTATAATAGCCAATATTAAGGTATAGGAAGGACTCGGTTTCTTTTAATCTTTTCAAATCTGATATAAAATTTGGAAAAATATTTTTTTTTAATTACCGAATATAATGTCACTGATGCCAATTTGATTATAAGCTTATTTTATTGAGATGTGAATTTATGGAATTACTGACACAACAAAAATGAAGATCCAATGAATAATATTTACCTAATTTTGTGCATTGTAGTGTTCCTCAGAGAGCCAGTGTTGGTGAAAGGTTTTTCTCTAGTTTAAGTTATACTCCAATGTTGAAGAAGATGAGAAAAAGATTAAGTGATAGTATTGAATTATTGAAGAAAGATATAGAAGATAGTATTGCTCCACCAACAGATAGTGATGACAATCAACCTCCGCTCAAAATATTTACTCCCCAACAAATAGAACTTAAATTAAAGTTGTCAAAGTAAGTTGAATATTTATTATAATTGTTATATGTACTCTCAAAAATGAATCCGTCATTTTACAATTGCAAAATCCCGCAAAAACTATGCTTCATAATAGAAAAGTATTTACACAATACAAAACAATGATTTTGAAATTGGAACAGTTTTGTTAGGGACCAATTTTCCTTTAAATGGGGAATAATAATTTCATACATTGAAAGATTTTCAAAAAATGTTTTATAAAGTGTTTCTCATATTTGACATGTTTTTTTGCTTTAGATTATATAGTACTATGGTACTATGGTTAGAAGAACCAAGATTACACGATACCAATCTTTATTTACCTTCTTTACCACCTCAATATGATGCTAGTAGATTGTTATTACTCTTTCAAAATATACAGGTTAGTCAAATATACCTTGAACATAGATCTGTAACAATCAGAATGTCAGAGTTAGCAAAATAAAAATTTCTCTAATCTATGAAACATCTGAATCTTTTTAAAAAAGACTTTTATCATAATTTTATTCTGTTTTAGTCTGTCATTTTATAGAGCACTTCAAAAGAAAATTTCTTAAGTTAACTATGCACATCAAGGGATATCTAAATTTAAACCATAATAACCATTTTGTCACATATTTTTCACTTCCAAGAACTTAATCCAGTAAACTTCACAAATGTATTAATAAATGGATCTACAGATATTGTAACTAATATTGTAGGATCCATGGTTAGAGTTTGTAGATATACATGAGGTATATCATAATATTACTATACAAGGTCATGAATGGAAGAAATATTTAATCTGTAAACAACAGAGATCATCAACTATCTCACAACAACAGCCTCAAAATGGTAGGTTGTACATATATCTAGTAGTAAACAGCCGCAAAAACTCTAAATAAATCAGATTTCTGACATAAAAATTGGTTTTATTATATTTGTTCATGTGAGAAACATTTCAATATGTCATAATGACAGCTCAGCATCAGTTCATATAAGCAATGATTATTCTGGAGTCACTGGTGTCTATTTGCAGCAGGCATTTGACTAGACCTGATGAATATGTATTACCTAGTTTATTAGAAAAAAAGGTTAATAAAGGGTTAACTGAGCTCTCATTTCCTGAAATGAATTATTTCAAGAAATAAATAATAACAATACCTTAAGTTTTATTAAATTTTTAAGCCACAGAGAGAATATTAAAATATCTAAGAAAAGAAGATGGTATTAAACCTGCTCCTAGTTTAGTTAATCTTTATCCAACTGTTCCCGATATAGATATTACAATATTACAAGATAAATCAGCTTTATTGCATTTGATTAATGCTGATATTTCTATTATTAAACAACATGCCAGGTGAGTAACCTTGTTACTTAATAAATAATGATATTTCTATTATTAAACAACATGGCAGGTGAGTAACCTTGTTACTTAATAAATAATGATATTTCTATTATTAAACAACATGGCAGGTGAGTAACCTTGTTACTTAATAAATAATGATATTTCTATTATTAAACAACATGGCAGGCGAGTAACTTTGTTATTTAATAATTAATGATATTTCTATTATTAAACAACATGCCAGGTGAGTAACTTTATTACTTAATAAATAATGATATTTCTATTATTAAACAACATGCCAGGTGAGTAACTTTATTACTTAATAAATAATGATATTTCTATTATTAAACAACATACCAGGTGAGTAACTTTATTACTTAATAAATAATGATATTTCTATTATTAAACAACATGGCAGGTGAGTAACTTTGTTACTTAATAAATAATGATATTTCTATTATTAAACAACATGCCAGGTGAGTAACTTAATTACTCAATAAGTAATGATATTTCTATTATTAAACAACATGCCAGGTGAGTAACTTTGTTACTTAATAATTAATGATATTTCTATTATTAAACAAAATGCCAGGTGAGTAACTTTTTTACTTAATAAATAATGATATTTCTATTATTAAACAACAAGCCAGGTGAGTAACTTAATCACTTAATAAGTAATGATATTTCTATTATTAAACAACATGCCAGGTGGGTAACTTTATTACTTAATAAATACTGATATTTCAATTATTAAACAACATGCCAGGTGAGTAACTTTTTTACTTAATAAATAATGATATTTCTATTATTAAACAACATGCCAGGTGAGTAACTTTATTACTTAATAAATAATGATATTTCTATTATTAAACAACATGGCAGGTGAGTAACTTTATTACTTAATAAATAATGATATTTCTATTATTAAACAACATACCAGGTGAGTAACTTTATTACTTAATAAATAATGATATTTCTATTATTAAACAACATGGCAGGCGAGTAACTTTGTTATTTAATAAATAATGATATTTCAATTATTAAACAACATGACAGGTGAGTAACTTTATTACTTAATAAATAATGATATTTCTATTATTAAACAATATGGCAGATGAGTAACTTTATTACTTAATAAATAATGATATTTCTATTATTAAACAACATGGCAGATGAGTAACTTTATTACTTAATAAATAATGATATTTCTATTATTAAACAATATGGCAGGTGAGTAACCGTTTTACTTAATAAATAATGATATTTCTATTATTAAACGACATGCCAGGTGAGTAACTTTTTTACTTAATAATTAATGATATTTCTATTATTAAACAACATGACAGGTGAGTAACGTTTTTACTTAATAAATAATGATATTTCTATTATTAAACGACATGCCAGGTGAGTAACTTTTTTACTTAATAATTAATGATATTTCTATTATTTAACAACATGACAGGTGAGTAACTTTTTTACTTAATAATTAATGATATTTCTATTATTAAACAACATGACAGGTGAGTATTTTTTTTACTTAATAAATAATGATATTTCTATTATTCAACGACATGCCAGGTGAGTAACTTTTTTACTTAATAAATAATGATATTTCTATTTGTAAACAACATGCCAGGTGAGTAACTTTATTATTTAATGAATAGTGATATTTTATTATTCAACGACATGCCAGGTGAGTAACTTTATTACTTAATAAATGATGATATTTCTATTTGTAAACAACATGCCAAGTGAAAAACTTATACATCTTTTGAATATGAAGTGTAAATGGTCCACTGAATTATTATATTTTTCAGTTTGTTTTCAAGTCGTATATCTAGACATTGTGGAGCAGATTTAAGTTATATAGATTTACTACCATCATTATATTCTAATCAGTGGAAACAGGTAAACAAATTCATAAATGATTATTGAATGGAAAGGAACTTTAAAATGCAAAAATGTATTGGATTTTTGGTGACATGATTTTTGTCTTAAGCAATAAGCATGTTTATTTCTAGCAAAATATTGTGTTTCAGTTACCCATATCACATAACATAATTTAGATTACATAGATTACATTTCTATGTTAAGAAAGTTATAGAAATTAAAATTGAATTGTATCAGGGGTGAAAAGATAGTTATAGTTATTTGAAAATTATCTACTACACTGAAATAGGATCATTTCGTTTATTATAGGTAATGATTCCTATTGAATGTAAAAGTAAAGTGAATCCTCTACATAGATGTTCTAACCCAGCTGTTGTTCAAGTTAGAGTGAGTTTTTTCAAACTAGTTTGTCTTTCTAAATACAATAGAAAATTTTAATGTTAAAAAATCATTATAAGAAAGAGAACATCCAAAATTACATGATACAACACTTTTGCTAACTAAATTAAGCTTATATTAGACATAACCAAATTTATTAAGCACATGTACAGAATGCATTTTAAATTTGTATTAAGATTGAAGAAAGAGAGAAGAATGAATTGATACAAAGGCAGATAGATGAAAATAGAGCTGAATATAAACAAATGATGATAGAAGGTCTATTACCACCACCACAGAATGTGTGTATAGCTGCTGTTCATGTTGAAAATGCTATCACGTAAGTTTTAATTCTTTGCTATTATATAATGTTGACACGTGATTTGAAATTTTATAGTAGCCTACCTGCTTTATTGACTATATTCAATATTATTCACAGATATTAATTAAATAAGGATGTAGGTATTACTGTGACTAAAATACCAAATGCCCATAATACCGTGTCCAGAATACCTTGTGCCTATATTACTGTGACTGAAATACGGTGTGCTTGAATTACTGTGACCAGAATACCTTGTGGCCGTATTACTGTGACCAGAATACCTTGTGCCTGTATTACTGTGACTACAATACCTTGTGCCCATATTACTGTGACTAAAATACTGTATGCCCATATTACTGTAACCAGAATACTGTGTGCCCGTATTTATTGGACCAGAATACCTTGTGCCCATATTACTGTGACTAAAATACCATATGCCCATAATACCGTGTCCAGAATACCTTGTGCCTATATTACTGTGACTAAAATACTATGTGCCCGTATTACTATGACCATAATACTGTGTGCCCATATTACTGTGACCAGAATACCTTGTGCTCATATTACTATGACTAAAATACCATGTGCCCGTATTACTGTGACTGAAATACGGTGTGCCCAAGTTACTGTGACTAAAATACCTTGTGCCCATATTACTGTGACTAAAATACTTTGTGCCAATATTACTGAGACTAAAATACTCTATACCCGTATTACTGTGACTAAAATACCATGTGCCTGTATT